AGAGGAAGGGGAATTTGAGAAGCCAGCTAATTTTGAGGCCGCACGTGAGGTTTCCGCAAATTCATTAGCTAGACAGGAGGAAGAACAGGCAGATGAAAGGTGTTTTGATGGAAGAGCCTCTCTAAGAAGGTGTGCGTGCGTAGGCGGACGATGATTGTTGTTAAAGGAGGCGGAGGATTCGGCTGATGCGGGAGAAGCGCTGCGACTAGTCTTTCCGCCAAGGTCAGACTGGGGGACGCGACGTTTTGCAGGCAATACAAGCTCATCTGCATCGTCTGAATATGGGAAAATCATTGCATGTTATTCAAAATTGACAATCTACTGTCATAAATTGAGTAGGCAATATAGACAAGCAAAAGTACCTTCTCGGGGTGCCTGTTCTCCGACTAAATGGGAATGTATGAGAGTCAGTAAGGTGATGAGGAACTCGTGGGCATCACGTTGTTCGTAGCCCGCCAGGTGACTGGCATGCAGCCAGATTGTGTGCAGCAAATTGCTCGGCACATATGGGCTCAGTACTGGGCGATAAATCTGCAAATCCAGATAATAGAAGGGAAAAATAAAATGGTTTATTCGTGTTAGGACTCCTGCGCACTTGAAGTAAAGAGGCATATTGCAATCACTACATCAACGCAGAGAATTCACTATGCAAATGGGTGCGTGAATCAACTGTGAAGTACTTGACGGCACCGACCGGATTCAAACCCCCGAGAAACCACAAAGCTCATAAACAGCAAATGCTCCAACCATCCGAGTCACGAAGCCCGTACGTTGTATAACTGAGGTGCTATAACGCCTGAGCCGATATGATTAAGAAAGAAAACGTTCATGAGAAAAAAGACTTTAACTACGGCCACATAAAATATGGGGTTAACTCTCTGGGTATCCTTGGCTTCTGAACCCACCGACGGTCATAAATCCTGCGATTGCGGAGTCCCGGGGTTTCACATGTTGCCCTTGATTTCAAAATCTCCTTCTGATCTCTGTTCACCATTGTTGGTTTCTGTTCGCAAGAAACGTACACAGTTCTTGCCGGGGAGAAGTGTCCGCAACGGTGAATGTGTCTCTTCTTAATCCAAGCCATTGTTAATTTCGATCGGAAACAGTAACAATGGTGAATGGACGTTCACCGATCGATTACGGGACGCAATCAGCCCGTTATGCCTTGGGGTTCATTCTCGAGCTCCTCTAGCAGTCAAACCGGGGCTAGCGAATATTACAGGCAGAAATGCGTTCCAGACAAAGACACGAGAGACTGGAATGGCCATTTCTGGCTTATTAGTCGTCCCCAGGTATTGCAACAGCCGAGGATCGAACCCGCGAAGAAGTACAACACTCAAAGTACCGCACCACAGGCTCTCCCTGTCGGTCTCAAATGTTAATATTCAAGAACGAAATCGACAGGAAAATTAGGCCATGGCGCAGTTGGACTTTTAGCCAATAGATCGCAGGTTCGATCTTCGGGTTTAGCAACACCTATGGTTGGATATGGCTGGCTGATGATGACTAATCAGCTAGAAGATGTGATCACTGGAACAAGGGTTTTATTTTCCTGACGTTTCGGATTCCCTCGGGAATCCTTAATCATAGGTACTTGTAGGAAAGTCGGAGCCATGCGCAGATAAGGGTGATACGTGCACAGGTTGCACGGTATTTATAGTTCGTAGCGGTCATCCGCATGCGTACT